GCTCTCTCCAGGTCCCGGGATGTTATTCCCAAGCTCCTTTCCATCCATCATCCCGTGTTTTGAGCCGTGATCGGCCCTGCAGGGCTGATCAGGCGGGGGAAAAACTTCCAGGATTGCTCATCCCTGACCTTTCCCTGCCCTGTGCCCGGCCCTGTGCCAGGAGTGCCCAGCCCAAAGTTCCTGAGCCAGCCCCGAGCCTGGGATAACGCGGGGGAGGCCCGGAGGTTTCTCCAAGCAGAGATGTCACATTTGGTGTGAGCAGAGCCCAGAAAATGCCACAAGGAAACATTTCGGAATCTGGGTTGGATCCAGGGAGGAGAGAGGAAGATCAAGGTCAGAAATGAGTCCCAAAAAACCACCAGCAGCACAAAAACCAGACTTTGCAATGCAGAAATGTTAAATTTAATGTGAGCAGGTGGACATGGACGAGCCCAGAAAACGCCACAAATTAACATTTTGGAATCTGGATTGGATCCAAGGAGGAGAGGGATAGATTTGGGTCCCAAGGTCAGAAATGAGTCCCAGAAAAACCACAATTAGCACAAAAAACCCGATTTCTCAAAGCAGAGATGTTACATTTGATGTGAGCAGGGGATCTGCACAAGCACAGAAAATGCCATGTTTAGGAATCTGGATTTTATCCAAGGAGGAGGGAGAAAGATTTTGGTCCCAAGGTCAGAAATATGTCCCAAGAAACCACCATTAGCACAAAAAAAAAAGACTTCTCCAAGCAGAGATGTTACACTCCATGTGAGCAGGTGGACATGGACAAGCCCAGAAAATGCCACAAATAAATATTTAGGAATCTGGATTGGATCCAAGGAAAAATGAGAAAGATTTTGGTCCCTAGGTCAGAAATGAGTCCCAAAAAACCACAATTAGCACAAAAAAAAAAGACTTCTCCAAGCAGAAATGTTACACTCCATGTGAGCAGGTGGACATGGATGAGCCCAGAAAATGCCACAAAGAAACATTTTGGAATCTGGGTTGGATCCAAGGAGGAGAGGGAAAGATTTTGGTCCCAAGGTCAGAAATGAGTCCCAGAAAAACCACAATTAGCACAAAAACCCCGATTTCTCCGAGCAGAGATGTTACATTTGATGTGAGCAGGGGATCTGCACGAGCCCAGAAAATGCCACAAAGAAACATTTTGGAATCTGGGTTGGATCCAAGGAGGAGAGAGAAAGATCAAGGGCAGAAATGAGTCCCAGAAAAATCACCGTTAGCACAAAAAAACAGATTTCTCCAAGCAGAGATGTTACACTCCATGTGAGCAGGTGGACATGGACAAGCCCAAAAAATGCCACAAATAAATATTTAGGAATCTGGATTGGATCCAAGGAGGAGAGGGAAAGATTTTGATCCCGAGGTCAGAAATGAGTCCCAGAAAAACCACAATTAGCACAAACCCCGATTTCTCCAAGCAGAGATGTTACATTTGATGTGAGCAGGGATCTGCACGAGCACAGAAAATGCCACAAAGAAACATTTTGGAATCTGGGTTGGATCCAAGGAGGAGAGAGGAAGATCAAGGGCAGAAATGAGTCCCAAAAAACCACCAGCAGCACAAAACCCAGACTTGTCAATACAGAAATGTTAAGTTTGATGTGAGCAGGTGGACGTGGACAAGCCCAGAAAATGCCACAAAGAAACATTTTGGAATCTGGGTTGGATCCAAGGAGGAGAGAGAAAGATCAGGGGCAGAAATGAATCCCAGAAAAACCACAATTAGCACAAACCCCCCGATTTCTCCGAGCAGAGGTGTCACATTTGATGTGAGCAGGGATCTGCACGAGCCCAGAGCTCTTGGATGAGCTTTGCCGGCCCCGGCAGAGGAGAAACAATCCGGGAATTGTGCAGGAAGTGTCACTTCTTGGGAGCCTCGTGGAGGGGACCCTGGGATGAGATGGGACAGAGCTTTGGGGTGGCAGAGGCTGCTTTTCCCTAAAGGGCTTTTCCCCACTTGGCACAAGGATCTGTTTCCCTCCATATCCGTTCATTCCCATTCCCGGTGTTCCTGGCAGATCCCAGCTCCGCCTGTTTGGTCTTGGAAAGGGAGGGGGATGACTCTGGGTGTTGGGGGATGTGGGAAGGAGCAGTTTGTGATTTCTGCTTTGCCCTCTTCTCTTGTTTGACTCCTTTACTGGACCATTGAAGGGGAAATCCTGGAATTATGGAACAGAAGGGACCTTAAAGCCCATCCAGTGCCACCCCTGCCATGGGCAGGGACACCTCCCACTCTCCCAGGTTGCTCCAGCCCGGCCTTGGACACTTCCAGGGATCCAGGGGCAGCCACAGCTTCTCTGGGAAATCCAGAGATCCACCCTCCCAGCAGCAATTCCTTCCCAGTATCCCATCTCTCCCTGCCCTCTGGCAGTGGGAAGCCATTCCCTGTGTCCTGTCCCTCCAGCCCTTGTCCCCAGTCCCTCTCCAGCTCTCCTGGAGCCCCTTTAGGCCCTGCCAGGGGCTCTCAGCTCTCCCTGGAGCCTTCTCTTCTCCAGGGGAACATTCCCAGCTCTCCCAGCCTGGCTCCAGAGCAGAGGGGCTCCAGCCCTCAGAGCATCTTATCCCAATCCCTTTCCACTCCTCCTTTCCCAGTTTTATACCTGTAAGAGATTTGTGAAGATCCAGCCATCAGACTTGACTTGGCTTGACTTCATCCCTGCAAGTGTCCAAGGCCAGGTTGGACGGGGCTTGGAGCAATCTGGGATAGGGGAAGGTGTCCCTGCCCATG